GAGCCTTCGGCGCTGAGAATTCCGGTGGGTTTCCAGGTGCAGTCCTCTGTTCGGGACTTCCGGTTCCCTTCTCTCCAGGCTCCCAGGCTGCAGTGACGCTTACGTTGAGAAGGAAACATAGGACACAAGCGACTCCCCCACCCGACAAAGAGCCATGGAGCAAGCAAAGACGTGGGGAAAAGAGGAAGGAGATCGATGCTTTTTCAAACAGTTTACGTTCACCCCAAGTTTTCGTGCATTCGGCTTGGTGGGAAGAACTTGGTTTTCCTAAGGAAAAGCTGTTCGAAGGCACCTCTGGCCACAAGAGGTCTCCCTTTCCCTGAACCTCACTGGTTTCAGGGCAGGGCCAAAAGGTGGTGGGATCCAGAAGTTCAACCTGTGAAAACCTGAGGAACAGAACAAACTGGTGAATATAACAGAATCCGGGGCATAGGAAGGGAGGGGACTGGCAATTCTTGCGGGGGAAAGGAGTGTGGGGGGTGTGGGGAAAGACTAGACAAAAATCATACACCTATGGTGAGGACAGGGCCGGGGTAAGGGCAGAGGGTGGGGTGACAACTGGTGGAGGGAGGCTGGGAGGGGGGGGGGGAGGAAAAATAATTGTAATAATATGAACAATAAAGATTTATTAATAAAGAAAAAAAAAATGCTCAACCCGGTCCCGGTAAGGCCAGCAGCAAATTCAGCAACGAATTTATTTAAACTTTTAAGACGTCAAAGTGTCCCTTTAACAGTAACATAGTTTATCAGTTTGAAAAATGAAAAACCACAAGGTAATGTTGAGTAAACACATATTGGGAAGAGTAAGGAGTACTTCAGTGTCAAAGTAAGTAATATTTGGGGAGTGATCGCTTCCCGCTTTGGTGACTGTTTTGTTAAGCACCATAGTTTGAAAAGGAACATCAGGTGAAGATAACATTAGTCATCCCTAACGTTTATTGGTTGTGCCGTGTGCTCTAGGCCTTTTTGAACACAGTATTCCGTCATATAAGGGAGAAACTGTTAGCCTTAATATTGATAACCCTTTGAGAAAGACACTCTTACAGATGAAGAGAAATTACAGGCTTAGAGAAATTAACAGTTGGCTCAAGGTCCACGGCTTAGAATTTGAACAGATATCTAACGCCACAGTTATTTACCCTCTGAGTTAGATAGGACAAGAGTCTCCATGTCTGGGCCATTCTTTTTTTTCTGGAAATGCCAGATGGCAGAACTTTATGATTTTATTAACACACGTACAATGTGCACACAACCTGTCTATCCATTGTCTTCTCCGCAGCCCTGCATTGGGACTGGTGACTGAGGGCCCGCTGGCTGCTCTCCCCGCAGTGGCGTGGCGGGTCTTTGGGGGACGCTGTGAGCAGTCTCAGCAGCACAGTGAGAGTCACTGCACATCAGCAGCGCGTCAAGCTCCTTGACGTTGTGGACCGGAAACTTCCAAAAGCCACTGGGCAGCACGTGCTTGGTGTTCCTGCTGCTCCCACAGCCAATGCTGGGCATCAGGATCTGCCCTGGAGCCTTCTGCGCACCCTGTTGTCAGTGCCTCTGGGTTTCCGCCAGGCCCGCTTCATTTTGGCGTATCGGTGTGACTGGTGCCGGGCGAACTCCTTGGTCCTCTTTTTGGCCATCTTGGGTTTCAGGAGGGGTCTGAGGGCAGCCAGGGTGCCGGGTAAGAGATGGCTGCCACCTCTGTGCAGCAGTGGAGGAGAGCTGGGCCATTCTTAATAAATGCTATTTCTGCCCAAACCGGTTTGGCTCAGTGATAGAGCGTCGGTCTGCAGACTGAAAGGTCCCAGGTTCGATTCCGGTCAGGGGCATGTACGTTGGTTGTGGGCACATCCCCAGTAGGGGGTGTGCAAGAGGCAGCTGGTCAATGTTTCTCATCGACGTTTCTAGCTATCTCTCTGTAAAAAATCAATAAAATATATTTTAAAAAAATAAATGCTATTTCTTGCTTAATGTTAAAATGTCGCACAGTGTTTTGCAGATGTAACAGTAAACAGGATGAGCTGACAAGAACTCAAGAGGATGAAAGTAGCCAATTGCAAAAACAAAACAAAAACACTCCAAAGCAACAACAATAAAAAAAAACTGCGCGCGCATGCGCGCGCGCACACACACACACACACACACACACACACACACACAAATTAAAAAACAACAACATGAAAGTAACCAAATAGTGTGTCTGAGCAATGGCTAACCCTCGCTTCCAGGAGACAGAGCTTTGGCTATAAATCCCCCATCTTCTTCACTTGCTGCAAGTAAACAAAACTACCTGGGACACCTGTGCCTCATTTCTTCATAAAGTGCCCCAGGCGGTGAGCCCCTGGTGTTTGGTAACATACATAGCCCACGCTGTGTCAATAAATCCATGAACACTGATATGGAACTGAAGAAACAGTTTGTTCATTTGACAACATGACAGCGGTAACCAGGAACGAGAGTCAGATTTGTCTGATCTTTTAAAAAGAATTTAACTGTGCCGAAACCGGTTTGGTTCAGTGGATAGAGCGTCGGCCTGCAGATTGGAAGGTCCCAGGTTCGATTCCGGTCAAGGGCATGTACCTTGGTTGTGGGCACATCCCCAGGAGGGGATGTATAGGAGGCAGCTGATTGATGTTTCTCTCTCATTGATGTTTCTAACTCTCTATCCTCTCTTCCTCTCTGTAAAGCATCAATAAGATATATTAAAAAAATAATAATTTCATTGTCCGCTCCCTCCCAGGACAATGGAATTCAGTAGCTGGGGGTGAGGTCTGGAATCCGTGTTTTTAAGTTCTACTGGGGACTGCTGTGTGCAGGGCCCTCGGTAGGGAACCCCTGCAGGGGGCTGCCCGGGTGAACAGTGGCTACATGTATGCGGGTGCACAGCCCTCTGGACCACGGCAGCCAGGCAGCCTTAGGACGGGATGATGGCCATTTGCTCAGCTCTTAACTACAGATGGCTCCAGTCTGAGATGTCCTTTCCCCTCCCCTTGAGAGCCGAGCTGGAAAGACACGTGGGGTTCTCCAGGGACTGAGGTGAGAAGTGGCAAAAGCAGAGCCGTCCGCGGCAGCCTTGAGGTGTTCTCAGGGAGGTGTGCGCACAGGCTGTCAGCCAGCCTGGTGGGCGGCGAGACAAGACCCAGATGACACGCACAGCCTCTATCTCCTGCTCTTCCCGGCAGCTGGCCAGCAGCCAGCGGCAGTGCGCGCAGAGGCTGGGGAGGGGGGAAACGGGGCACAGGAGGGGCCCTTCAGGGCAGGGGGCTGCGAATGGTGACGGAGCCAAGACTTAAGAACGAGGAATCCGCTGGGAGGAAGGGAGAAAGCATTTTCTACCCGTTTCTGAAAGGAACAGAACTTCTGCAGGGATTTTAAGTGGCCTAAGCCATCCTGCAGTTTGGGCATGGTAAGTTTGAAATCAGATCATCGTGTGATGTTCTCGGGAACCTCCTGTGCTTGCTTTCTTAATGGTTTCTATCCTGCCCTCCCCCATCTCCCTCTCTCTCTCTCTCTCTCTCTCTCTATCTCTCTCTATCTCTCTCTATCTCTATCTCTCTCCTCCCACTCCCCCTCACACACACAGAGCTTCCTGCTCTTGGTGGCTGCCACCTTCCTCGGAGTCACTCTGCTCCCGCTGACCCGGGCTCAGCAGGGCTTCCCAGGCACTGGCCGGGCCGCGGCTCCATGTCCCGGAGATTTACATGCCCCTCTCCCTGGAGCTTGGGAGCCTGACCCGCCGGGAACGTGATGAATCTGGCTGCCCCGGCTCTCAGGACACCAGGGCAGAAGAGCTGGGAAAGAGAATTTTAAAAAAGAAAATCATGATCCTTGAATGTTTCTGAGATGAACTCCTTCCAGCACCACTGGCAGCTCTGTGGGGCAGAGATGGGGGACAGACAGACTCCTCGCCCTCCCGAGCAGGTATCTGCCCTGCGGGAGAGCCAGAGGGAGTGACCCGGGCCTTTGCACGGGGTCCCCCCGGGGGTCTCGGGGTTCCCGGGCCGAGGGAGCTCGGGGCTGTGCGTGAGCTCTGCACGCAGACCTGCTGCACCTTCCGACGCCGCTCCAGACCCTCACGTCTCTGCGTCCAAAGCTTCTGTGGAGCCGGGCCCATTCCTTCCCTGTCGTCACCGGATTCCGTTCTGGGGCTGGCAGTGGTGCGCAGCCGGGCCTGGGAGGGCATGTGAGTGGGAGGGCTGAGCGTGGCTCTGGGCGTTCTGGGTGCCAGCACGGCGTGTTCTGCTGTCTCCCTCCCTCCTCCCGCTACCCGCCCGCTCCTCCCACCGGCCCAGGGGACCAGGGAGCCGGGCCGGACGAGGCTCTTCCCGGGGGAGAGGAGCCTCCGGGCGCCCGGCTGCCCACACTCTGCTCTCAGCTTCCCTCCCTCGCCCTCCAGCCGCCCGGGGTCGGAGGCACCGGCCCGTCTGAAGCGCCCCTCCCGCTGGGAAGGAGGCCGGCCGGCCAGGGGGCTATTTTGGGAGCAGCTTCTGAGATCCGATGGCCTTGTTAGGGCAACACTGACCTTTCTGTCCCGGGAGGAGGCAGGGCCGGCCAGGGGCGGGGCGGCCTCCCGAGAGCCACAGCCCAGCCCGCACCCACCCCGGGTGGAGGAGAGGGGCCAGGGCTGCAGGAATTCAGCCTGCCACCCAGGGACCTGCCCCCGCTCTGAGCCGGACTGGGGACCCCGCCACCCCACCCTGTCCCTGGTGCTTCTTAAAGGGATCACGGCGGTTTTCCTCTGCCTCCATGGCAGCCGGGCCCGGGATGCTCGGTGGAGGGCTCGCCTCTCTCCCTCCCGCTCCCTGCCCCGCGGGCAGCCTCCCCCGGGCCGACTGAGGGGCCCCCAGGCATGGCCCCGGCCGGGCACCTGGCTCCTGGGCTCCCCCAGCCTCTGGCGGCAGCTGGCTTCCCCCCCGCCGGGGTGCGGCGGTGGTGAGGGGCGCCCGGCCCTGGGCCCTGGGCCCTGAGCCGACGAGCTGGAGGGCGGCCAGGCCGCCGGGGGCTGCGATGCGATGAGCGGCGGCCGCTTTGACTTTGACGATGGCGGGGCGTACTGCGGGGGCTGGGAGAGCGGCAAGGCCCACGGGCACGGGCTGTGCACCGGCCCCAAGGGCCAGGGCGAGTACTCGGGCTCCTGGAACTTCGGCTTCGAGGTGGCCGGCGTGTACACCTGGCCCAGCGGCAACACCTTCGAGGGGTACTGGGCACAGGGCAAGCGGCATGGGCTGGGCATAGAGACCAAGGGGCGCTGGCTCTACAAGGGCGAGTGGACGCACGGCTTCAAGGGCCGTTACGGCACCCGGCAGAGCAGCAGCAGCGGCGCCAAGTACGAGGGCACCTGGAGCAACGGCCTGCAGGACGGCTACGGCACCGAGACCTATGCCGACGGAGGTGAGCGCCGGCTGCGGCAGGGGGAGCCAGGCCCTGAGGGGCGCTGGCCTGGGGAGGGGCACTGGCCTGGGTGAGGGGCGCTGGCCTGGGGAGGGGCACTGGCCTGGGTGAGGGGCACTGGCATGGGGAGGGGCGCTGGCATGGTGAGGGGCGCTGGCCTGGGTGAGGGGCGCTGGCCTGGGGAGGGGCACTGGCCTGGGGAGGGGCGCTGGCCTGGGTAAGGGGCGCTGGCCTGGGGAGGGGCACTGGCCTGGGTGAGGGGCGCTGGCCTGGGGAGGGGCACTGGCCTGGGTGAGGGGCGCTGGCCTGGGTGAGGGGCGCTGGCATGGGTGAGGGGTGCTGGCCTGGGTGAGGGGCGCTGGCCTGGGGAGGGGCACTGGCCTGGTGAGGGGCGCTGGCCTGGGTGAGGGGCACTGGCCTGGGTGAGGGGCGCTGGCCTGGGTGAGGGGCGCTGGCATGGTGAGGGGCACTGGCCTGGGTGAGGGGCGCTGGCCTGGGGAGGGGCACTGGCCTGGTGAGGGGCACTGGCATGGTGAGGGGCACTGGCCTGGGTGAGGGGCGCTGGCCTGGGTGAGGGGCGCTGGCCTGGGTGAGGGGCGCTGGCCTGGGTGAGGGGCGCTGGCATGGGTGCAGGAGCACGGGGGGGAGACGGAGGAGCCAGGGGCCCTGTGGCAGAGGCAGAGGGGCCGGGCTTATCTACCCTGTGCCTTCAGGCGAACCACTCTGCCTCTCCAGGACCCCTTTGCTTGTTAGGAAGGGCTGCGGAGAAGACGGGACACACACCCAGCACACACCCAGCACACCCTCACCAAGAGGTGACTGCCCCTGCCCACCTGCCAGGCTTCCCATCGGCCGTGGGACAGATGGGAGCTTGCACTCAAGGAGAATTGGGGTCCCGGCTCCGCGTTGCCAAGAAAGGGACTGTCAAGGAGCAGATCATGACGTATCCATTCATTCACCCGCCCGTCCATGCACGCATTCGTTTGTTCGGTGCCTATTTCTGCGGTGCCTCCTGCTGGCAAGCATGGTAAAGGGACATACAAAGAGGAATGAGACACAGCCCAGGGCTTCAGAGATAGGCTGTAGACACACCGTTACATACAAGAACGCACAGAGTGCAGTCGGAGGAGGATGTTTCAGAAGAGGGGACATGGGAGTTGGATCTGGATGGGGAAATTGCGTTTGTGAGGGCGGGAGTGGGAGAGAGAAAAAAAAACATGAGCAAAGAGCTCACAAGCAGGAGAGAACTCGGTGGGTTCAGGGAACGGAGAGGAATTTTCTGTGGCAACACAGCCCCGGGGGATTGGCAGAATAGACACCATCACCTCCTCCACTGGGGGTCACTTTGAACAGTGTCCTCATTCATAAAATGGGATATTCATTTTCAAATAAGTACTCAAAATGTGGTCCTTGCCCAGGGAGCATCAGAAATAAATGCAAATTCAGCTCCCCCCCCCTACACCTGCTGACTCAGAATCGGAGGGTCAACCCAGACACCTACCTTAAGCCCACCCAGCAGTTTCTGCGCAGCTGAAGCTTAAGGAGCCCGCTTTAAAAACAGGCGCTGGCAAACTCGACAGCAGGCCAAGCTGGCCTGCTGCCCGCTTTTGTGCAGCTTGGGGAGCTGGCAGTCATTTTACATGTTGAAATGCTTGGGGAAAAGAAGTCAAGAGAACAAGACTATCTGTGAAAACGATATGCGAGTCCCTACATGACTTCCTCAGCTTTGTCTCTTGGCCCAGGAGCCGAAAAGACTTACTGTTCACCGGCAAGAGGAGCATGCTGGCTCCTTCAGGGCCCTCCCAGCCCAGGGTCACTCTCCGCCTCCCTCACGTGCCCTGTGGGGAAGAGGCGCTGACGCCGATAACTCGGAGCGGCGGCTCATTGAAAAAAACACACGCATTTGGCGCCAGGGGACATGGGAGCGGGGCCCTGGGCAGGCAGAGCGGGGCCCCCGGTGCCGGATGGGCAGGATGGGCTGCCGGCGGGTGGCCGTCTGGCGAGGGTCCACCCTGGAAAGTGTCGGGCTGTTCGCGAGGTCTGTCCCTGGAGCGCACGGCGCTGGCTGGCTGGCACCGACAGCGCTGAGGACAGGTTCCGGTACCGCACTTCCTCATTCTGTGCAGCACGCTTCCCACGTCTGTGACCTTGAGCTGCTGCTGGGCTTCTGCAGTTCAGGGCCATGCGATTCGCTGGGTGTCTGTGCCCAGTGCTGTGCTACGCACCGGGGACCGCGGAGAGCAGGCCCCCACCTCTCTGGCTGGCAGCTGGAGATAACCCTGGATCGCCTGCCAGGCGCCCATTAGTGGTGCAGCACGGGGGCCACATGTTCCTTCTCTCCCCCTCTCAGACCGAGGTGTGTGAGCCACAGGGACACAGACTTGGGGGAAGCTAGAGGTTGATCTCCTGATATATCTAAAGGGAGCCGGCGGGGGTGGGGGGAGAGAAGACTCATTTATCCAGGCAGCCAATATTACGGAGCATCATCTGATGTCAGGCACCATTCCTCAGGATTCCAGGGGCCGGGGCAGGAACAAGCGAAGTCCTCAGGAAGTTTCCTGTCTCATGAAGACAGAAACATACATCATTTCCAGAAGGTCCGAGTGTTTTGAGAAGAGAAAGAAGGGAGAGTGGTGCTTTTGGATAGGGCAGTCTGAGAAGCAGGGCGGAGAGTTCCAGAGGGAAGACTTCCCGCAGCGGGAAGGGCCTGGCAGAGGCCCTGAGGCGGGCCCGGCCTGGGTGCCCGAGGAACAGCTGAGCGCCAGGGTGTGAGGGGCAGAGGGACTGAGGGGAGCAGGCGGGAGCCGCCGGGAGATGCGGGCACGGGCCAGATCGAGGCGGCTTTGCAGGGACCTGGGTATTGTCCGAGCTGCAGTCAGGTGACCAGAAGACCAGGTCCAGCCTCTTTTCCCAGATGAGAGAACCCCCCTTTCCGGCAGCCTGGAAACCTCGCAGATCCTCTCCCCCAAGCCACACTCGAGGTGCAGCTCTCCAAAATTAGATGTGGCCGCTGCTTTGGAAAATCTCTTTAATCAACCTGTCATCGGTTCCCCGAGGGTTTGTTGAGGACCTGCCCTCTGCCCCGTGCAGGGAGCGCTGGGCGGAATGTGGGCCATTGAGATCCTGCGATTAGGAAGCTGGGAGTCGGGTAGCCCTGGGCTATCACACATCCTGGCTCCGCCGCATTCTTTAATCTCTCAGAGCCTTCGTTTCCTCATCCATAAAGTGAGTTTATCCTAATCTCTGCTAAGGCTGCTCATGGGATAAATGGGCACTCCGTAAATGGTAGCTGCTGCCCTGGCTGGTTTTCTCAGTGGTGAGAGCCTCAGCCTGCAGACCGCAGGGTCCACGGGTTTGATTCCGGGTTTGATACCTTGGTTGCAGGCTCAATCCCCAGCCCAAGATTGGGGGGTGGTGGGAGGCAACTAATCAATGTGTCTCTTTCACATCGATGTTTCTCTCTCTCCCTCTCTCTCTCTCTCTCTAACAACAAATCAATGGAAAAAATATCTTCGGGTAAGGAACAATAAATAAATAAATAAATAAATAAATAAATAAATAAATAAATGGTAGTTGCCATTATTAGTATTAGCTATCATTAATATATTCAATAAATGTGTATTTTTTATAAAAATACAATTTATTGATTTTTTACAGAGAGGAAGGGAGAGATAGAGAGCCAGAAAGATCAATGAGAGAGAAACATGTATCAGCCACCTCTCCCACCCCCCCACCGGGGATGTGCCCGCAACCAAGGTATGTGCCCTTGACCGGAATTGAACCCGGGACCCCTCAGTCCGCAGGCCGACGCTCTTATCCACTGAGCCAAACTGGTTTCAGCGGAAATGTGCATCTTACCTGAAATTCTGAGATTTAGTGATCAGAGGGACCATGTGCCTATTTCCTCCACTCGCCACCTTCCCTGGCAGTCACATGTGATTGCTCTAAACCACAAAAACACATCAACAAACAATAACAACAACAAAAACAGCACTCTTCTGAACTGGAGTTGCCAACCTATTCATAGATAGACAGTGTGTCATGACCTGCATTTTTTTTTTAATGAAAGAATAGGATAGAATAGAAAATATCACGTGTTTCATGCAGAATAAGATAAAGTACGGTTTCCTAAAATATTGTTCAGCTGGAGATATACGTGTGTGTGTGTGTGTGTGTATAAAAATGTCTACGTTTATGTGTGTATTATAATATCAGCTTTATTTCTCACTATTGATTACTTTTGTGTCATGGACAGAAAGTTTGAAAGTCATGGTGTTCAAGTGTCTCTCTGGCTGGAGGGGGAGCCCTCCCGTTCTCCGGTGGGAAGGGAAGGGTGGTGCAGGCACAGGTGCTCTGACCTCCTAACCCTGCTGTAAGCTTCTTGGCACCCTCCCCCCCCGCACCCCCCCTCTCCTCCCCTCCCCCCACACCGCCTATAGCCCTTCACTCCCCTGGCCATATATAGCCAAACTAAAAATAGCCGCTGACTTAAAACTCCAAAGCAAGCATGGCCCGGGCCTGGCTGTTCCCAGGGACCCACAGACTTCAGGACAGGAGGGCCTCGGGGAGCGATGCTTTCTGAGCTTGTGGACCTGGGCCCCCAGCCGTGGCCTCAGAGGCCACAAATGCCTTAAAGCCGAGGCGAGCTGTATGCAGTGCACGACCTGTGCCTCCGCGCATGGACTGTCTGCGTTCCTCTGGGAGCTGATCCTCAGAAAGCCTGAGTCTCAAAATAACCTGGGGATCAAACAGGTCATTAAACCAAGTCCCCAACCATTGATCTCACTCGATAATCCCCTCCCCCACGTGTGCAGTGGGGAAACCAGCTTTTCCATAGGATGCTGATGCTGATGATGATAATAGTTAACATTTGGCAGAAACCGGTTTGGCTCAGTGGATAGAGCGTCGGCCTGCTGACTGGAAGGTCCCAGGTTCGATTCCGGTCAAGGGCATTGGTTGTGGGCACATGCCCAGTGGCGGTTGTGCAGGAGACAGCTGAT